CAATCGCATTACGCGATCTGGAGAGGCAATAATCACAAATGGGTACCTCTCTTTTCCTCTGTTCACTTCTTTTCACCTGTCCTATCCTCTTTTGGTATCTCTGTTCTTCATTTTTCACTTTCCCTCTCTCTTATCCTCTTGTCTTTTATATTATCATCTCGTTAATTTTCTCTCATGTACTCTCTTCTTTTCTTCTCTCTCTACTTCTCTTTTCTCGTCTTTCTTTTCTTCCCCTTCTCTTTTATTCTTCTAATTCCTTCACTGCTCATTTCCTTATCCTCCTCTTCGCTTGTATTCTCTTCCTCTCTCTTCGTCTTTCCACTCTCTACCCTTCTCTGTACTATCTTTTCCTTTCAACTCTTCTGATATTTTCCCTTTTCCTACCCTCTTTCTTTTTCTCCTATCTTTCCTTCTACTCTCTTCTGTTCTGTTGTCTTCATTTCTCTTTTATTCTGTCTCGCCTTCCCACTTCTGCATATCTAAGTTATTTTTTTTACTAATAGGTACTATTCTAATCTGATAGCCCGAGAGGATTTTATTAACGACAGCAGTTCTGAAAACTTCAAATCGTATCTAAACTGTACTGCTAATGAGAGCCTCGGGGTGGGTTGATAATGAAATTATGAGTTATCATGGATACTTACAAAGAAAATATATGACTTGGCCTTTTTAATGCTCTAATGGAAAATGGTCTCTCACTCAGAGGGAGGAACACAGATTGCAGGTGTTTGAGAATCGGGTGTTGAGGAGGATATTTGGGCCTAAGAGGGAAGACGATGGGGCGTGGAGAAAACTGCACAATGACGAGCTTAAAAATCTGTACTGCTCCCCCAGTATTGTGAGGGTGATTAAGTCGAGAAGAGTGAGATGGGCGGGACATGTAGCGAGCATGGATGGGACAAGAGGTGTGCACCGGGTACTGGTTGGGAAACCTGAAGGGAAGAGGCCGCTGGGGAGACCTAGACGTAGATGGGAGGATAATCTCAGGCGGGATCTATGGGAGATAGGGGTTGAAGGAGATTGGATGTTGGTGGCCCAGGACAGGGACCGTTGGATGGCTTTGGTTAATTCGGTGATGAACCTTCGTGTTCGGTAAGCCATCTAGTTAGTTAGTTAGTTAATGGAAAATGCTACGAAGTCTTTTATTGTTCCGGTAAGGCAGAAATCGTACGTAAGGCTGAAAGAAAAACACCTTTTTTCTACAAGAATAAGTCTGTATTTTATTTACAGTAACTTTTTTCGAAATATACAGTATTTATAAAATATTAATTTTATTGAGCAATACAGTAAATGACCACCGGAAAAAAATTACATTATATTCTCTTGTCTATTTCCAGCACTAATTGTATGCATAGAACAGCAAAATTATTTTATAAAAGATATAAAATGTACGTTCCCTATAATTGAACACGACAAATGTGAACAGAATTTCGGTACAATAATATTATTCAGTAGCAATATTAAAGTTTAAATAATGTTGTGAAATTTTTTGGTTTTCACGACGACAAATATAAATATGGTTGTGTTTTGGGATGTTGTGCAGTGTGGTTTGGTAGATTTTGGCGGACGTTTCAGAGAAACATACCGCCGTCATTATCAGGATTAGTATTTATCACACTACGCTGTGCAAAATCCCAGAACACATCCATCTTTATAAAAATTACACTTTCAAATCAACCATTTACTAAATTATGTGCAGTAAAATCTTTAGTGTCGACTAAAAGTTTGTTACAGTGTGCGCCCGTCTTATCAAAAGGGAAAGTTTTAGCAACATAATTTCGTAGCATACCCTTAAATACCGATGTTGCAGCGAAGTGTGTGAACTTAGAACTGTGATAAACGACTTCCGATCGGAAATATTCGCTCATCTTCACAGTTCAATCGTCAGATCAATCACATGGATTTTAATTGTATTTGATATTTATTAAGTAGAGAGTGGTGTTACATGTATCTTACATTATGAAGTATGTCATATAGAGAAAGCGTATAAATTATATCTGTCGGTACCACATCTAGGTAAAGAGGAAGTCTTTAATTTTCCGCAATGTTCGCTTAAATTTTCTGTTTATTAACATGTGCAGTAATTTATATTCATATAAATGCAGAATTAAATTCGGTGTCATGGTTACGCTTTCGTAATTTTCAGGAAATAAAAATTTGTTGGTGACAATTCGCATTGATCAGCTTGACGGTTTGGTGGCGTGGCAGGAAACGATTATTTGAAGTGTCTGTGAGAAGTAATACAGAATGTGCAACTGCTATTGCGTCAGAACTCATAAGATAAATAACCATTATATTAGCTTTATAGAAATGTTAATATTAATCGTTTAAATTATGGGACTGGTTTCGAGTTGATAATTGGGCTGATACTAATCTTCTAGTGAGTCATAAAAAGAGACTGCAGATTTCTAATTCTCTGTTGGTGACCAAAATATGTTTGAAGTGCCGGATGTAAATTGTGAATTGATTGTGTTGTTCACATTGTGATGTAATAGTACTGAAATCACTTTAAAATTCAATTTGCACAAATTTCTTTTGAGCCAGGCAATGCGCCTCTAATAATGTTTTCTTCTATCGCTAAGTTGTCTCCTTTAACGTAAAATTAGTTTATGATTTGTTCCATAATATTATGGGTTTAACGTATGTAATCCTAAGATAGTGTAATTGCGTCATATTGTGAATATTATATCAATTATTTATTTTTAATCCGTCTGATCACAATATAATTTTATTTAAATGTTAAATTTAAATTTAAATTTTTATTTACAAATGTAAATGTAAATGTTCCGAAATGTAAATCGATCAATCGATAAGGAACATGAATGATATTTTATTATCTTAATTATAAGAAATTTTAAATAAAATTATATTGTGATCAGACGGATTAAAAATAAATAATTGGTATGTAATCCTGTTTGTGATTGACACAGTTCAAATAACATTTTTAGCATTTAACAAATGCATTTCCATTACTTTTATATTTAGCGTGTATTTACATGAACTAACATATTTTTTGTATGTTATATTCTGGAATTTATGTTTAGTGTATTTTTGTATAAATTAACTATATTTGAAAGTGACAGTCGTATAATTAAGAAATTGTAATATTAATATTTTGAATTAAGTATTTTAAAACCTCTTATTTTATACGTTTACTTTGAAGTACAAATATTTATTACTCACAGACACTACTTTAAAGCTACAGTTTAGCTTGTCATTGCCATAGCAATTGTAACCACTTCTCGAATCCACTACAGAGTTGTAATTCAGATAATCTATCCTGCGGTGTTTCAAATCCTTCCGTCAAGTACTGGTGTTTAGCTCCAACATTCTTGAAAAAAACTCCGCTTAATGGCAGCTAATTCGGAATACTTCTTGAGGTGCGGTGTTAAGTTTCGTCCGGATGTTAGGAGCCAGTTGACGAAGATGACGTGAGAATTGAAGTTAAAAGTGAGAATACAGTTCTGAATATGGTGAATTTGAACTAGAAAAGAAAAGACAGAATTTATTACAATAAAACAGTACAAAATTTAATGTTTATGCATCCGATGTAATATTCATATTAAACTAAGTGTACGTTATTTGTTCAGCTTTTAAATTTAGGAAGCAATGAAAATATTTTTATGAGGCGGAAGTTGGAATATATTAAGTGACTGAATCGTTTGTTGGGCAGATGTTTGGTTCTATTCGTATCCAGGGAGATACCTTCTTAAAAACGCCTTTTAATGAACGTTGTCAAAAGCGAAGCGGATACAAATGAACAGTGTTAGCAAAAGAAGGTTCTTATTTAACAAAAGCCAACAAGAAATGTGCTTATGCTAGCGTGCAAAGAAATTTTTTGTCACTGAACACAAAACAAATGGACGGATGGAATTTCAAACTTTGTTTGAATTGGTAAGGATGTTAGCCAAAATATGTTTAAGAAATTTTTGCTATGTATATGTAACGAAAGGTTTTTAGTATTGTTTGTCGGTTTATATACGACTTAGTAGCATTAACTTTAATTAATAACACATCAGAGATCCGACAAGCTTATCTATTTATTACAGTGAATAAATTACCATAAGTATTGGGTTATTATTTTCTGATTTATGATGTCATGTCTTGTAGGTAGTAATCAATGTTTTCGAGGAACATGTCGCCTCCATCTTCAAGTGGGAAAATGGAGGCGGTATGTTCCACCGAAATGTTTGTATATCCTATCTGACAAGGGATTTCAGATATCGTCGGAGGACGCTCGTGAAAGTTTACGATGTACTATGACTGAAAAGGGGAGAAGAGATGGTAGGGGAGAGACTGCATGTGCAGTACTGTTTAGCTTACATCACCAGTCAACACTGCAGAGTTTTCGAAATTAGCCACCGTCCTTGCCTACAAGGCGTCATAACCCAGAAGAACATTAGATTTTCGTCAGACGTAAAAACCTCTGATCTTACCATTAGTAGCCTGGACAAACCGTTGGTGACGGAGCTGAATGGGCCTTTTCCAATGAGATCGTCATACTGAAATAAGACAATACGTAGTCACTTTAATATTATCCCTATGGTCTGCTGTCCGGCTTCGTGCCGTTACCTTTCTAACATAATGCAAATTTCATCTTCAAAAAAATGCAATTCATATTTGAGCTGGATCAGTTCATTCAGTCAAATGGTTTTCTATTCAATTGACAATCGAAGTCCGATTTCTTACATTGGCAAGATCCCGCCCTCCTCAACGTCTGGTCCAGTCAGCCTCAAGTCCTACTTAATCTGTTTCTCCTCTCTGTGAAGCAGTTCATGCACCTCAACAAAAAATCGAGTTCGGGAATGCGTGGAGATAATCTCCACGCACCCTTATACGCCTGCATCTCGTGGTGTATAGAGGCGACTTTGCCTTCACGATATAGGCCTACCCTTCTCAGGTGCAGGTATTGCTGGTGCACTGTAGTTCAGTTATAAATTTGTACCCACACTAGTGACGTAACTGTTGACAATCGCAATTTGTCCGCTGGAAAGCAGGTTCAGTCAACCAACGCCTTTCGTCTTCAGATTTCGTGATGCATGCAGCATGTGGTGCGTGTAATACGCATTATTTGAACACACAATTGCGAGATTTCGTGCTGGGTTGGTTCAGTCGTTTTTTTCTGAGTGTTTGTCTCCTTAAATACGCGCTTACTCCAATTTAGATTCCTCCTACGCTATCACCACTAAAATTATTTTCGACGAATTACATTTCGTCCGTTACCGGCCAGTCATAACACTGAATTTACATTAAGCCAAATTTTAACTTCGTCAGAGTTCTCAAGAATAGTTAATCATACAACGCACTAATAACAGTAAATTTCACCCAGCTGTTTAACCAAGCATCACGCCACGCAGACATTTTGGGGAGTGGAGGTATAGCTTCACACATTCTTAACCTCAGATTTACTTCCCTGCTGCTTTGTCCCCGAGAACTCAAGATCTTGTTAAGTTAATTTTACGTGAAAAAATCATCAGTTGAATGACAATTTTACAAAATGTAGGGGAAAGTAAATTCAGATTCCATTCTGTGACATCTGATGTGATGAGATGTTATAAAACATGTCGAAGAAGTTTGAATACAAATTGCCGAGGATTAATTTGTGAAGCTAAGGCAACGGAATGGACAGGGGGATGTAGACACCTGCTTGACGAGCTTCGTAACCTGTGCTCTTAACCAGGTCAGGTCGCGATAAATTACATTTGAGGAGCATGCAGAGTGCGTGGGCAGATGACAGATCCACACGAAATTTTGATTAGAAAACTGAACGGAACAGCCCGCTTCATTGACCTTGGCTTTAAGGGGGCGAAAGTACCCAGTGAATGTGAATTTTAAAGAAAGGGGGCGTTTGAGGATGAGGATTGGATTCATTTGGCTAAGGGCGTCGACGTTTCGGCGGCGGTTCGTCGTTAACGTGATAATTAAATTCAAGATCCCATAAGCAGCAAAAATGATTTGATCAGCTGAGTGACTCGAGAAGGTCTCTGCTCCGTGAAGTTTGAACTTTATCTGCAGTCAGGGCACGTACTGGCCATTGAGATACACAAAATTACAAGGAAAGTTTTTGTGAAAAAATATTTACTGCTTTCGAGTCGTTGTAAACATGTTCTTACCTTCTGTCACAGTCAGTGGGCACACTCAGTCGAACGAGTTTGTTCAGTAACACTAGAAACTCACTTTCGATTTCCATGTAAGCAACCGGTAAATTGCCTACACGTTTAACTGTACTTGGCCAGTCACAGCTCATGTATTGTTCGTCGGAATGTTGTCAGTCATGTGAAAGTGATTGTTTGAGTTTTTCTTTGACGTCCCACCAGGAAAAAAGTTATTAGAGTTTTAAGCCGATCACATACGATCGTATTCCTGACAGGCAGATTGTTGCGGTAAAACTGAAGGCTTGTACCTGAGAGGTACCTGATTTGACTCTCGGCTAGGTTGTTCTACACCCTAGCTTATATTTTTCGAATTTTCGTGTCTTTGAATGAAATGCATTTTGGGATAATTTTCTTAGATTTTTGCTGATGGAATTTGCCGCCTTATTCATTACTATTTTTGAATAGATGAGCGACTCTCAGCTTCTTCACACAGTTCAGTTATAACTCAGTCTTAATGGTGGTCTGACAAAGGACGTTGTACCAGTTCTCGTACTCACCGTTCCACCTTGCAGAGGATCCTTGCTGCCTCCCGTTCCACCTCCCCCGCCACCAGCAGCGTTACCTGCACCCTGGAAATGTGACAGATTGTTGTGTGTTCACTCGGATGTTTCATCTTGTGAACCACAGGAGCAGTAAACCCCCTTTAATTAACCCTTTCAAGCCCGAAGCACATCTAGCTAAGATTTAAAATTTCAGTCCGTACCGCAAAGAAAACACTTCGCGCCTCCATTACAAAGATCAGTCGATTTAGGGCCGTAACCGCTGTTAAACCTGAGATTCATACAAATTATTATTTATTGTTAAGTCATATGGTACATTTAGTTACCACTGTACCTTAAAAGATTCCAGAAGCAGATCGGAATCTTAGAATGGAATTTTAAATAATGTTTAGACTAGCTCAGCCCTTCAGACTGAACTCTGTCACTTACCCCACTGCTGCTCCCAAGCAATCCGGATACCAGGCTAAGGACGTTGGATCCACCACCACCGCCGCCATCTTGACTGTCACCGCCGCTGCTGCTCTGTGGCACATTATTACGGTAGTGAGGTTTCAGGTTCTCAAGGCGACGCCGTGTACTCTCATAGAAGTTGACCAACTTTCAGAGGTTCAAACTGCTTCCATCATCATCGAACTGATAATGAAGGCGGTACGCACCTCCGAATCGTTGGACCACTTCTACAAGACTACAATGAAGGCTGTCATCTTAAGTATAAAAATAATTGTTTATAAATGTAAGAATAAATAGAAAGATCATTAAGACGGATGACGAAGACAACACGACCCAGTTACAGTTTAAACCTACCTTCGTACAGAACAATGGAAAAAGTATGGAAACACGACGGACAGGGTTTTTAGGCCGGTAGAGGTATTAGATATAAATTCGTGAAGACAAAAGAAAGGAGAAAAGCGCAGAGATCAAATAGCAACGACATTTTTTCCCCTCGGCACGTGTTTGCACTTACCCCACTGCTGCTCCCAAGCAATCCGGATACGAGGCTAAGGATGTTGGATCCACCGCCGCCATCTTGACTGTCACCTCCACCGCCACTGATTCCCTGTGGAGCCCCCCAAACAACATTACTTGTTATTAAGCTGCTATGTTATTCTTGAATCATCACACGAACAGGGTGGAATTGGGACATTGGAGTTCCTTTCAGTCCGACTTGCATTAACTGCAGGCGAAGCGAACTGGCGGAAAATTCAAAGCCATTCAAAACCTGATGAGAACTGTAGGATCTACTCCATAAGTTCAGTTCCACGACAACAAAAGCCTCACATCTAACACGACGGCGTAACATTTTGTTTGGATTGCAGGAATAAACTGGCATATGAAGTACGTGATTAATACTGAGGGTTCAAGTGGAATATCAAAATTTACATTTATGTGGTGGCGTAAACGTCGTTATAACGTTGATACACAAATAATATTAAAATAAAAACAGGCAAATAGCAATATAACAATTATCACAAAAGACATGAATGACAATTTCATCCACAGCTTACTTAGGTAAGTTTCAGTTAAGTTTGTAGTAATTTTTTATTTTTGATTTTGATTTTCTGGGCATTTCTTTCCGAATGTTAATACTTACTGGACTAAGACACGCTGACAGGGGTCCTAAGAAGAGCCTCAGAAAATCGGGCTTTCCCCCTGGAAATCCGCCTCCAGCTGGACCAGTTCCTCCACCGCCACCCTGCCCACATTGTTATGATTGACATCCATGCAATGTTAGTTACATTTTAAACACAACGTATTTTTGTAGCAGCTAATTAGATGCAGATTGTTCACGGTTGGACTTACCCCGCTGAGGCTTGCTGAGAGGGGCCCCAACAGGCTCAGGATATCCGATCCTCCACCCCCTTGGCCACCACCGCCTCCCTGCTCCATATTAGTGGGAATATGATGAGCTCTTACTTATTAGACAGCAAGTTAGTTAGTAATTTGAAGGAAATTAAGTGTTATTAATTATTATTAAATTATTATCAGTGTGATAACCTTTTGAAGGGTAAATTCTGCAAAGTGTTTTACATAACTCTACACCAGTTACAAAATTTTCAAGGGAGCTGTTCCGCTTAAAGTAAACTCACCCCACTGAGACTTCCTGAGAGCGGCCCAATGAGACTGAGAATATCGGATCCACCTTCTCCACCGCCACCCTGTAGATTTTTTGTGCAAGTAAATTAGTGTTTAACTGCAGTACACAGTCCAAGAAAGCAATTGGCGTTTGACAATCAAGGCGCAGCTTACCCCACTGAGGCTTGCTGAGAGGGGTCCGAGCAGACTAAGAATATCAGATCCACCGCCTTCTCCACCACCCTGTGGTTAGTATGAAGAGTGTTAGTGTTAGTGTTAACTGAGTCGCCAGTGAATTATGAAACTGTTGTTAATATAAATGAGGAAGTGACACTTACCCCACTGAGGCTTGCTGAGAGGGGTCCGAGCAGACTAAGAATATCAGAGCCACCGCCTTCTCCACCACCCTGTGGTTAGTATGAAGAGTGTTAGTGTTAGTGTTAACTGAGTCGCCAGTGAATTATAAAACTGTTGTTAATATAAATGAGGAAGTGACACTTACCCCACTGAGGCTTGCTGAGAGGGGTCCGAGCAGACTAAGAATATCAGAGCCACCGCCTTCTCCACCACCCTGTGGTTAGTATGAAGAGTGTTAGTGTTAGTGTTAACTGAGTCGCCAGTGAATTATAAAACTGTTGTTAATATAAATGAGGAAGTGACACTTACCCCACTGAGGCTTGCTGAGAGGGGTCCGAGCAGACTAAGAATATCAGAGCCACCGCCTTCTCCACCACCCTGTGGTTAGTATGAAGAGTGTTAGTGTTAGTGTTAACTGAGTCGCCAGTGAATTATAAAACTGTTGTTAATATAAATGAGGAAGTGACACTTACCCCACTGAGGCTTGCTGAGAGGGGTCCGAGCAGACTAAGAATATCAGAGCCACCGCCTTCTCCACCACCCTGTGGTTAGTATGAAGAGTGTTAGTGTTAGTGTTAACTGAGTCGCCAGTGAATTATGAAACTGTTGTTAATATAAATGAGGAAGTGACACTTACCCCACTGAGGCTTCCTGACAGCGGTCCAAGCAGACTAAGAATGTTCGAGCCTCCGCCCCCTTCGCCGTCTCCGCCACCCTGTGGATAAACAGCGCTGTTAGTGGCGCAAGTTTAAGTGGCCCAGGTGTCGGGATTTTGTAATTGGCGCAGATAATTTTAGGGTAATCTCGGGCGAAGAACGGGTACTTCCTCTAGTGTGAAGTAAAATATGTTTTCGCACGATGCAAGCTCCAGAATTGGAAGAAGGTTAATAAAATTGTACATATATATCTCTCAGACAATGAGTAATCGGGTTTAACGCCGTGTTCCGTTAACTTCTAAAACAAATTAAGAGTCGTAATTCATTTTAGGTTTAACGATGATGGTTTATCTACATAGGTTATATTACATCTATATTGCGTGTAAAGATATCCAGCCACTTTCATAGAGATGAGGAGGGAACTGACTGAAAGTCAGGATATGCGGTAATCGGTTTGGGATTCGACCTCAGCATCTCTCGGATAAAAGCAGGTCACTGCATGGGTTACGTAAAATGGTTCCCATGGACAGATTCGTAGCTTATTCTATGACCTTATTTAAAACTTCGAATGAGATGGGCAGATGATTGTGAATGGTGAGTCGGTAAGGATATGGAAGGGCGCGGTCTTGGTCAGATTCAACATGGTGTCCTGAAATTCGCTTCAAGACGCTTAGACCTTCAGTCAACATCCGGGGTACCTCGTTACACATTCGAAGTACAAACTTTTCAAATACAAGTCTAGAACATTACCTCTTCGTCATAATACAACCAGTACAACGTTTACCATGAAGATTTCTTTTCTTCAGACATGACAGCGAATGTGACGGTAAAACATCGAAGAGGAAAGGAAAGTGTTTGTAGCGACATCTCTTGTTATACGTCTGTCACTACCAATGCGAGTTTACGAGGTATACGGAAGTGTTTATCGGACTACGCAGAAGGTTCAGCTAATCTCTTTAGCAAAGCGTTGCGGATACTGCTAAATATTTTTGTATCTCTTTGTACTGTTTCCAACAATACTTAATTCTTGTCGATGATGGTCCTGTAGGTATTTACATTATTTCGGAGGAACTTTGTCAGCCGCCAACAAAACCACGCGGCCTCGCCACCAGAAGAACATCAACACCTTCACCACTGCCAAAATCTTAGATCTCATACTTACATCTTGGACAGCGAATAGGTTGTGAGGTCTGTTACTTGTCTGAAAAGAAAGTCTCTCGCCTTCTATACACAGAAGGAAAATATTATTCCAAACGCCCGCGTTTTGTTAATTTCTCGCTGATGGTTTTGAACTTACCCCACTGAGACTGCCAATGAGAGGTCCAAGGTTGCTCAAAAGGGCCCCTATGTCGGATCCGCCATCTCCACCACCCTGTGTTGTTGTTAGTATGGTCAGATGTTAGATTATCATGCAGCGCCCATTACATGTGGAGTATTAACTAACTTAAAAACGGCAAACTTTTTTTTTAAAAAAAAAAACGCTCTTTAAACTTCAGGGAACTACCGCCCTTTGGAAGAAGGTCACTGACATAAATGTTTTCAGTGTTAGTCACATATAAGAAATTAATACGATCTTGTATGACGGTCTTCTGTTATGTTATTACGTGTAGTCTAATAGACGTTTAGAGGTTCTTTCTCATGCTCGCCCTGGGGATGGAGGTAGCAAACACCTCTGAAATTTTGGTAACATTTACAAGACTACACGGTGTAACACTTAGAAGATAGTCACCTTCATGTGCTCTCTTTTATTATTTTTGTTCAAAAATCCGTAAAGATATAAAAGCCTCCACTTATAACAGACTCGTTCAGCCGTATATTAAAAGCAGTTTAGTTTATGAAATAGGGTTAAGGTAATCAACTGTACCACCATACGCCACACAAGTCAATATAAGCTGCAGGCGAATATGACTGTTAACAAATGTGGATTTCATAATTCGTTCACTTAGACTGTGGAATGTATATGAAGAAGTTTAAGTCATAGTTACAACACGTTGAAACCTAGCTCATAATGAGACGATGTTGCAGCAAAGTGGAAATTTTAGTGATATATTCCTTTACTGATTTCTTGCCAGCCTGTTATTCTGATATGAGCACAGGAACATAGCGGCTTGTTCTTTTTACAAACTTCGCCGCCTAGTGGCAAATATGAACCAGTGCTGCATGAGTTTACGTCCACTCCATCATCAGTGTGAACGAACAATAATGCACATAGAAATTGTTATTCGAAGAACTTGTCCCAAAAACGGCATATAAATGGTGATGTAATTTGATAAAGTGATAGACTAATGAGTATATTTATATAAGGTAACCGGCAAGGATATTTTTAATTAAGACATTGTATATTAATGATATAAATAATTTTATTGTGTATTGTCTTTCTTATGTAAATTCTAAACAGGAAAATTACTTCATAAATGCCAGTGTATTTTTTCCTGTAATTTATTTATGAACTGTCTTAAATTTAAGACTGATCCCTATAATATACACTTACCCCACTGAGGCTCCCAATAAGGGGGCCTAGATTACCCAAAAGGGCCCCAATGTCAGATCCACCACCTTCGCCATCTTCATCACCACCCTGTATAGCCGAATTTTTTAGTTATAGAAAAATTCTCTTAATTTGTTTGCATAACATTTCATTCAATTTTGTATCTACATTGTTACGAATAAAATTAGTTTAGACTTACTCCACTGAGACTACCGATAAGAGGACCCAAGTTACCCAAAAGGGCCCCAATATCAGATCCACCACCTTCACCATCTTCATCACCACCCTGTATAGCCGAATTTGTTAGTTATAGAAAAATTCTCTTAATTTGTGTGCATAACATTTCATTCAATTTTGTATTTACATTGTTACGAATAAAATTATTTTAGACTTACCCCACTGAGACTACCGATAAGAGGACCCAAGTTACCCAAAAGGGCCCCAATGTCAGATCCACCACCTTCACCATCTTCATCACCACCCTGTATAGCCGAATTTGTTAGTTATAGAAAAATTCTCTTAATTTGTGTGCATAACATTTCATTCAACTTTGTATTTACATTGTTACGAATAAAATTATTTTAGACTTACCCCACTGAGACTACCGATAAGAGGACCCAAGTTACCCAAAAGGGCCCCAATGTCAGATCCACCACCTTCACCATCTTCATCGCCACCCTAAGCATTCGAAAGAGTCAGTAGCAGGAAGAAGCTGTTAGTTTTATAGCTGACTCGTAAATTGTTAATATAATTTAACATAGCAATTAGTTTATTTAGAATTTACCCCAATATAATGCGAATTGTCTTCTCTAGGTACCTCACTATACGAAAGTTCTTGCACATTATACTTTCGCATGATCAAAATCTGTGGTGTTACGGGAAAAAGGTTAAAGTCATTGAATGTAATTTCTCAGGACAAGATGAAACAAATTCATGCCAGTGCAGTAAAGTGCTTAAATTCGAGGGCACGTTAAATCCTGGAAAATAATTTACAAAGAATTTATTATAACTACGCATGAGTTTGTTTTACGTTAAAATCCAGTAACATTTTTATGAATGGTCTTACAGCTTACTTACCCCACTGAGACCGCCAATAAGAGGGCCCAGATTGCCCAAAAGGGCTCCAATGTCCGATCCCCCACCTTCACCGTCTTCATCATCACCGCCCTATATTCATACAGTGTTAATTTGAAAAGAGTCCTGTTAGTGTGTATTGTGTACAGTCTTTCCAAGAATATCGATTATGTTATGCTTAGGCATTCACTACTTACCCCACTGAGACCGCCAATAAGAGGGCCCAAATTGCCCAGAAGGGCTCCTATGTCGGATCCACCCCCCTCACCGTCTTCACCATCGCCCTACATGGCCACAGTGGTTAGTACAACATGCAGACAATAGGTAAATAACTGTCATTGAAACCAACGGACTGACTATTCATTAATTCTGACAACGAAGAGGAATATTAGAAAAATGGAATAAATAATAATAACAATAATAACAAAATGGACTATTTTTTAGAATTTAGTTGATATGTTGAGATAAACTGACTCTAATAATCCACATTATTATTTTGTTATTAATTCTGTAGTATATTATGGTTTTCTATGAAATGTTTTTAAAAAATCGTAAAATAATTTATAATTAACAGACTATGCACACAGAATGTCACTCAGGGTAGAATGGAGAAACGAAAATAGGAAATTCTTAAATTTACTGCGTTGTAAACCAGTAAAATTTATTTGTATTTTACACAACACACGCCTATTTAATTTTGAGAAACACTTACCCCACTGAGACCGCCAATAAGAGGGCCCAGATTGCCCAAAAGGGCTCCAATGTCCGATCCCCCACCTTCACCGTCTTCATCATCACCACCCTGTATAGCCACAGCGCGTTAGTTTATTAACGTAGAGTCGTGCCTTTTTTAAACGAAGGTCATATAAAATATTGGTATATTTGCAAGTGAACACTGACTCTAAGGGTATATATAATATACGAGTAAGTAACTTACCCCACTGAGGCCCCCGATAAGTGGGCCCAAATTGCCCAGAAGGGCTCCTATGTCTGACCCTCCACCCTCACCGTCTTCATCATCACCACCCTGTATAGCCACAGCGTCATTAACAAGACAGTTACATAAGTTTATGCACAGAAGTACCTAAATTTACTGTGTTAGTATTGACGGCGGTTAAATTTGACGCAGTGTGACAAAAATATTATTTAGATAAAATTACTTACCCCGCTGAGGCCTCCAATAAGTGGGCCCAGATTGCCCAAAAGGGCCCCTATATCAGAACCGCCACCCTCACCATCATCATCACCCTAAATAAAGATAATATTAATAGCAGCAGTAGCAATGGTTAGTTAATGAAACAGAAGTGGAATTTATTACCTCAGACGTTTCACTTGCAGAATACAATAAAAGCTAAATACATTCATGCGGCGAAATTTGTAAAGGATACTTACCCCACTGAGACCTCCAAGCAAGGGGCCAATATTACCCAAGAGGGCTCCAATATCTGATCCACCGCCTTCACCATCATCATCGCCGCCCTACATACATACAGTCGT